ATGTCAGAGTGATTCTTACTTGAGTTTTTTAAATCACTTATATTTTGGATGGAGGAAGAACTTGCTTACTTCTCAAGGGAGAAGATGAGTAAGATGAGGACCACATATTTCAAATACTTTTTTAATATCCTGTCTTGGCGATATGGGGTATCTCTCCATTGTGTGGAAAGATAATGACAGTGGCTATACCTGTGTAGGCTTCCATGTTGCTATGCTCAGAGTTTTCATTCTAGTGATCCCTACACTGTCACTTCTACTGCGCAATTTTCGAGGTAAGAGACACAGTTCAGTACTCTCAACCTTTTCTTTTGAACCCTTCACCCATAATGTTCAACCCAGATGATGTTGCAAGTCAATTATTTGATTTAGACTATTACCAATAACTTTTAGGCAATTTGCAATGGATTTTGACGCGAGGATTATCCTGTTTGTATTTTAGGATTTCGTCCAAACTGCGAAAACTTATTTTCGATACACCATGGCTTATAGTAGTCCCATATCGGATTTGCTGCTACTAAACCATAGGGACTTGAATACATTAGGTATATTGACATTTTGCTGGGTTAGAGAATGAAGGGCATCATCGAGAACCAGGAATGCTGGCATCAGGAAGAATATAAATGAAAAGTTACATTCCTGGTTGAGTACCTACCGTGCAAAAGGTTTTTAGCCTTTGAAGCATTTCTGGAATCACTTGAGAATCATGCGCATCACATCTCTTCATTACGCTTAATCATGAACTTCCACTAAGGGAAAATTCTTCTTTAGCTAGAATTTGTTTGTTGAAAAAAAAAACGTAGGTAGCAAGAGTTCTCCTGAAATTTTTAATGGAATGTCTTTTCAAGGACAACCACCAAAATGATGCTTCTTTTCCTTATGGAAGTAATCAATTGCAATAGATGTTCACTTCTTATTGACAACATTTTTCCATGACAACCCTTGCTGCAGTACCAGACTACAGACTATCACCTCTCAAATACACAATATACAGATACTGATACAAATGTGTTTAATTCAATAAGGTTGATTGCCTCCAAAAATCACTCAAATTAGAATATGTAGTCAGGAGCAGGCAATATCGGTATTCATTCATCCAACCATACCCCTGATCAATATCTCAAGGTCATTCGAAGATAAATGCCTTGAATTGGAGTGTCGCTTGATTTTTACTTGAGTTAATTGATATTCAAGGATCATGAATACTTCATCTCTCAAGTGGTTCTAGTCTCCATGCCTCGGTTTTTTAGGCAAGAGGCCATCTTACCAATGCGTGAGGAAATGCTGACTGTGTTAGTACATTTCTAGGGTCTTTTGAAGGCACTTGGAGCTCACAATTCCAGATATCACTTCGTTGCTACGTTAACTGCTCGTGCTTTCAAGTGAGGTTTAATTTTATTGTTTGAAGTACCTTGTGATGAACTCTGTTTAAACGATACACCCTGTTATTAATTATGTAATGACCTAACTACTCGGACCATGTATAAAATGAGCAGGGAATAGCATATCCCAGATGTGATAGTATGAGAGCGACTTTTGACTCTATAAAAAAATCAGGAGTGCATGTGTCTTTGCAACAGTGCAGTCAAGTTGCCAGGTACAGTGGAAGTATTGGAATGCTACATGTCCTGACACGTTTCCCGTCTCCGTGGACATAAGTTATTTATTATTAAAACGGACTGTAATGTGCTATGATATGCTTGTTAGGCCTAGAAAAAAACGCGAAAATATTAAGGGCTTCTTAATTGTTTAAAAAGTAACCAAAACGAGACTTAAAAGCAGTTCAGCACTCACACTAGAGTGGTAACGTTTCAAAAACCTGTCTGAGCATGAACAAGAAACCCACAAGTCTCATCCACTCTACGACTTGTTATTACACACTACAGTCTTATCATTATATTGCGGCTACGAAATTCCAAAGTTTCATTGTAAGTGCTCTCAAGCCCAAATTTGCTGAAGATCGAGGCGCCCCATTAATGGGCAATGCATGTCCTTTTTTGATGCTGTTGGTTGACACTTGGCAGGGATTACTTTTCGAACCGAATGAGGCTGTAGCTATCAGGAGTCAGGAGAGTTAGTGATATCAAGAGGCGATTTCGCCCATTTCGATATCACGTGTCGAGGTCGAGCGTTCCTTAATTTTAGGGTAGGCCTAACCCTCTTAAAGCTATATATATATATATATATATATATANCATTTTACGGATAAGAATGTATTGATTAAATAAATCGCGTCTCCCGAATACACGGAATATCATATCTACGGTCTACTTTAAAATATCTAAGGTAATATCAGGTTGGTGTTGATCGCGTCCTAAAGTGTAGTATGACTCCTGTTTTTAAATGGCACATAATTATCCACATTGCCCAGAAAGGGCCTCATTAAACTCTCATTGCACTTATTTCCTTTGGGAATTTATCAGGAACAGAATATGGAGTAAACTGTATTATTTAAAGTTTAATATGCATTTGCATGAATGAATTTGCGCATGAAGCCGTGCAAAATGGAAATGGAAAGGAAAATAGCATACGACTGGCGAGAAGTCAGTCGTATGCTAGGGTGCGATATGAAGATATCATATTTCACGCCTTATGTCTATCAATATATATATTTCAAGTTCAGTATTCAGTATTTGACATTTCTTAACGAATTTCACGTAATATATCCTCATTAGACTTTGATTATTTTCCCATCAAGGTGGATTCGACTTAGAGGAGGGTGATTCTTGTTCCCATCTAAGCGCATCTACCCGTTTAGAGGGGAAATCAGTGCATCTAAGATTTGACGCCCTTGCAAAAATTGCATAATAAATCCTCTTCCCAAGATCATCCGAAACAAGAAATAGATCAAAAGAGATCAGGCATATCTGGTATACATATCTGGTATAACAATGAAAATGCGATGCTCATGCGCAATTTCGAGTGCAATGCAAAAATACGCAGGTGCTCACGGATGCTCTTGAAATGGAATTCAGCACACTTTTTGCAGCAGCATTGTCTCATTCTTTCTTCTTTTTAAGAAAAGTAATCAGGAAAAAGCAATCACCAATTTAAAATAAGAGGGAAAACCTACTCACATGCACGAAGATTACTTGCAAGGTTATTATGTCCATGTTTTTGAAGTGATGCCAAGAATCCCTGAAAGGCAGCGTCACCTTTGCTGGGTAGGTTCTCCACCAAGAATGAAACTTTCCCAATGACGTCCTTCTTGACGTTCTGCCAGTATTCCTGATTTTCAATGAAGCCACCGATCCTTAAATCCCGAAGCACCTCGTCGTGCTTGATGAATTCAAGGTCTCTCTGGTATTGCAACATCACATCCGAGATTGGCTTGCCAGAAGCCATAGCGTTCTAAGCCCTTCAACGTTCGATGTATTGAACTGCAATTATAAGATGAGGCGATGGCTATCCTATGAGCTATTTTGACCATAGATGATAGTTTATTGTATTTTATCGCACTGTATTTTACTTATGGATGCGGGGAAATCAAGTGTGGGATAGGAATTCAAATGCAGCAGTACAGGTTGTCCGAAAAGTCAGGAATCAGGGCAAATATATTTGGTAATGTAAAATATTTCCCCATATTTTCCTGATCTTCCGGGCAACCTGCAGATTGCTTTAAGAGTCACTGGAAAAAGCAGCAGTAAACTTGTGGAATACTGCATCAAGTCTTGTTAATTATATGCTCTATAATCTACGCTGGATATTTGATGAAATAAAACGTCTGTTTTTGAAGTTGTTGCACAGATTTGCCTTTAATATAGTGTAATACGAACATCGAGGGATATATTACCAATTTCGTAGAGGTCTATTCCCTAGGTACTGCTCTGGCCATGTGCATTTCAGGGGGCTTATACCTATAATATTTTCCTCTTCCAAAAATATAATAGGATTTTATAGGATCTTTTCGTAAGGGATAGGATAATTTCGTAAAATTACCTTTCTGTCTAAAGGTAATTTTTGTCATTCACCTAGACTTTTGTTTACAATATTTTGCAAAGACATACATGGCGTTCATTGCACAATGCGTTGCAGCGTTGGTTCAGACGTAGCTGTAATAACTTTGTCGAACATTCCCATCTAGTTTCATTCAGCTGATAAACCTGTCAACACAATTAGTTCCTGGCGAGCTGCTAAGATGCATTTAACAATGTTCCAAATACAGGGAAGACCTCACATATTTTCTACTAGTAAGCTACAAGGTTACTGAGGTTAGAGTCACGCAACATATTCAATACATATTGACACACGTGCACCTTGGTTTTTTGGTATAAAGGGGATACTTCATAATTAAGGCCCATTACTGACTATTATCAATTCGGAATAAATAGTCACAGTGCAAAATAATCCAGCAAAATATTGTAAACAAAAGTCTAGGTGAATGACAAAAATTACCTTTAGACAGAAAGGTAATTTTACGAAATTATCCTATCCCTTACGAAAAGATCCTATAAAATCCTATTATATTTTTGGAAGAGGAAAATATTATAGGTATAAGCCCCCTGAAATGCACATGGCCAGAGCAGTACCTAGGGAATAGACCTCTACGAAATTGGTAATATATCCCTCGATGTTCGTATTACACTATATTAAAGGCAAATCTGTGCAACAACTTCAAAAACAGACGTTTTATTTCATCAAATATCCAGCGTAGATTATAGAGCATATAATTAACAAGACTTGATGCAGTATTCCACAAGTTTACTGCTGCTTTTTCCAGTGACTCTTAAAGCAATCTGCAGGTTGCCCGGAAGATCAGGAAAATATGGGGAAATATTTTACATTACCAAATATATTTGCCCTGATTCCTGACTTTTCGGACAACCTGTACTGCTGCATTTGAATTCCTATCCCACACTTGATTTCCCCGCATCCATAAGTAAAATACAGTGCGATAAAATACAATAAACTATCATCTATGGTCAAAATAGCTCATAGGATAGCCATCGCCTCATCTTATAATTGCAGTTCAATACATCGAACGTTGAAGGGCTTAGAACGCTATGGCTTCTGGCAAGCCAATCTCGGATGTGATGTTGCAATACCAGAGAGACCTTGAATTCATCAAGCACGACGAGGTGCTTCGGGATTTAAGGATCGGTGGCTTCATTGAAAATCAGGAATACTGGCAGAACGTCAAGAAGGACGTCATTGGGAAAGTTTCATTCTTGGTGGAGAACCTACCCAGCAAAGGTGACGCTGCCTTTCAGGGATTCTTGGCATCACTTCAAAAACATGGACATAATAACCTTGCAAGTAATCTTCGTGCATGTGAGTAGGTTTTCCCTCTTATTTTAAATTGGTGATTGCTTTTTCCTGATTACTTTTCTTAAAAAGAAGAAAGAATGAGACAATGCTGCTGCAAAAAGTGTGCTGAATTCCATTTCAAGAGCATCCGTGAGCACCTGCGTATTTTTGCATTGCACTCGAAATTGCGCATGAGCATCGCATTTTCATTGTTATACCAGATATGTATACCAGATATGCCTGATCTCTTTTGATCTATTTCTTGTTTCGGATGATCTTGGGAAGAGGATTTATTATGCAATTTTTGCAAGGGCGTCAAATCTTAGATGCACTGATTTCCCCTCTAAACGGGTAGATGCGCTTAGATGGGAACAAGAATCACCCTCCTCTAAGTCGAATCCACCTTGATGGGAAAATAATCAAAGTCTAATGAGGATATATTACGTGAAATTCGTTAAGAAATGTCAAATACTGAATACTGAACTTGAAATATATATATTGATAGACATAAGGCGTGAAATATGATATCTTCATATCGCACCCTAGCATACGACTGACTTCTCGCCAGTCGTATGCTATTTTCCTTTCCATTTCCATTTTGCACGGCTTCATGCGCAAATTCATTCATGCAAATGCATATTAAACTTTAAATAATACAGTTTACTCCATATTCTGTTCCTGATAAATTCCCAAAGGAAATAAGTGCAATGAGAGTTTAATGAGGCCCTTTCTGGGCAATGTGGATAATTATGTGCCATTTAAAAACAGGAGTCATACTACACTTTAGGACGCGATCAACACCAACCTGATATTACCTTAGATATTTTAAAGTAGACCGTAGATATGATATTCCGTGTATTCGGGAGACGCGATTTATTTAATCAATACATTCTTATCCGTAAAATGTTAGAAATTGCACTTTTAGATCCGTGATGAATATAAGTTATACTAGCACACCGGGGTGGAACATTCAGCATGGCGTATTTAATTTATCCAGGTGCAAATGGTACCACGCCTACTCCAGCAACGGTCGCCGCATCGCACGTGAATCCTGCTCAATCAAATAATTGCCAACTCCCGAAAGGGTTTGTCAGTTTGACCATTCCAATTCCAGACTAGTTTTTACGTATTTCTTTTGCAAATAGAAAATGATAAAAATAGAAAATTATGAAAATTATGCATCAGGATCTCCTTCGATACTACACGCTGATGGCAGTCTTATAATTCAGCAAATTTGCTTCACACCCTAGATTCAATTATAAGATATACTTGGGGAAAAAAGCCCAGACATCATGCCCGCTTGCTATGGATAATTCGTGGTTTGCTTTTTCAGGGAAGTCAAGACCCGCCTGATTGAGAAATGGGATGAACTTTTGGAATTTCTGGATTATGCACAGATTTCAGGAAAACTAGTTGCGAAAGGAATTCTTCCCGCTGAGTGGGAAGTAGGATTGACGTCTGCTCAAAAGCGGAGGGAAGCCATCCTTCTGGCTGTTCGGGGTCGAGGTCCATATGGGTATCAGGCCTTTCTTGATGCCCTTTCTGAGATTGGGCAATCTTTCCTTATGGAAAACTAACGTCTATTATGTGCAACTATTCAAGTATTTGAGATGCAGCCTAAATAAATAGTTGTGCTAAGCCAGTGGATTACCTCATGACAGAAAGTACGATAGGAGTGACATGAATACCTCTCACAGGCCTCAATTTTTCATAAGAATGAAGGAAAGCTGCTTTGTTAAACATTTAAGAGAGGGGAAAAAGAGAGCAAAAGAAAAATAGAAAGGGAGTCTACCACTAGTGCAATATATCATAAAATGATAGGAAAGATGAAAAAGGATAACACAGTTACACAAATCATAGACTGGAAGACTGGAAGTTTTTGAAAGGTTGACTTCTGTTGCAAAGTACAGGTTGGGCAACATGTGGCATTGCTAAGAAAGCCTAACCGAGAATCAAACCTCATTGTTTTGTGAAAACAATGTAATAAATGTTTGCATGGCCACGATTTTACGGTGAGGGGTGAAAAATCGCTGCTGCGCAAATCCAACACTATCTCACCGTTCGTATGTTAACATGTGAAACTTTATTAATGAGCAGTGCTCTAACTTCATAGCAACTGAAAATGACCTCCAAACAGCCTTGACTGGAATTCTGTGGATGATGAGGTTCATTACAGGAGATGGTGTATTTCACAAAAATCCAGAATATCAAGTGTGCGAATCATCGCTTGCCGGGATGATTTGAGTCAATCAGCAATCAATTGGGCAATCCGGCAGCGGCAGGTTGATTGCTGTTGGCAGAAGAAAATGACGGCCACATCGAACATCGCTTTCACTAATCCAGCATTTTTCGCTGCGTATTATTACTGTGCTATTTTCAAATATACACGTCTATTAATATTTCTTGTCAGGTGTACCTTAACAATGCTTTTCATGAAAACATGCGACTGCATGAAAATGAAATGAGCTGAATATAGACCTTTTGATTGACCAGCGACGGTTTTTCACCTCTCACCGTAATATTGCCGCTAAGCCAAAATCGTTGAACTGATTTTTACAAAGCAAATTGCTTTCGATTACAATTTATTCATTCTAATCAATGGCCGAATCGCAGGAACCAATCTTAATAATAATGTGACAGCGGAATTATGAAAGTGGAACTTTCTTCTGGCCCACCCTGTACAAGGTCTTCCATATCTTTTTGCTAGGGGGTACAGCATTTATGGAGTATAAAAAATATGAGTGTTGTACATATTTTAAAAACCAATTTCATTCTCATTTCATATTTGTCATCGAAAATTATAATCGCGGGGGTGGTTGGCGATGACGGAAGGCAACGTGTTAAAGACTGCATTTGAACATACGCCTATCGAGAAGCAAGGGAATCAGGCACAATTTTTATCAATTGAAAGTGAATATCTCATCACTGAATCGCAGTGAGTGATTGAGTTACTGGCAACTGGACCAAGGGATACGAACCTTGTTTTACAGAATTTGACGATGGCAGGACGGAAAAATTGTCTGAAGTGAGCAAAAGCATTGTGATGGAGAAGAATGGGAAAAGACAAAGAGAAAACGCTGCGGTCGAGTTGCAAAAAATAATTTCAAAGAGGTATGGAAAGCTAATCAGATGACAATACCGAATCAAAAAAGCCTTGAAGGAAAAAATAGATAGTATGATGATTGGTTCGGAACGAAATTCTGAAGCGATGGCCCACAAAACTTTATTCATTATTCATTAGATGGAAAATGAAACATAACTGTTTGAAAATTTGTTGAAATTATACCCTCAACATTTGAGGTCTGTACGTGAAGCCAAAGGCGGTCGCGCAAAACACTGATGTATCACTGTATTCAGGTTGAATTAAGATTTAAATTGATGTATAATTTACAATTGTTCTATTTGTACTTAGGGTTGTACCCCCCTAGCAAAAAGGTTATGTAAGACCGTGTATAATTCAACCTCTTCAGTACAATGAAACATGCATGAGAGATAGTAAGAGATACCGAATGACTCATAGTTTGTACAGGCTGATGTATTCCAAAGATGCCACACTTCTAGGTAATACTCAATTGCACCTGCGTCATCCCATCTTCATTATCATTCAATCTTCTGAGGTTGAGGATGAACTGAAATACGCGATCCAGGCATGCCGATTCCTATATAGGCCTTGTTACACGTTACGTATTGGGTTGTAACATATATTCCCGCCGTTTTTATATTTTGTTTGTTTTCACTCCATATTTTTGAAGTTTGGCAAGTGGA